AATTCAATATTTACTTTCATATTTAATTCAGCTGCAAAGACATTTCATTAGAGAATTTGTTTTACATTTATTTACACCTTTTTGAGCAATTTATGTATGGCATGCACACTAAAATACAATGTTTCTTAAACTGATAGTTTTTCAAGTTACTTAAAAAGAGAATGTTACTTCAGTCATGTTGTTGTACTTGTGTTTAAGTTGGCTAGTTACACATTAAAAAAAAAAAAATCAAAATCGTGAATCGGTCACATTTTATGAAAAAACCTAATTTTTATTTTTTGCCATATCACCCAGCCCTAGCATTACTAAAAAGAGACTAAAATACAATTTTCATTGACTAAAACTAGACAAAATGTCATCAGTTTTCATCGACTAAAACTGGGTGAAAATAGTCCTGGATAATTCTGACTAAAATAAGACTAAAATGCTCAGACTTTTAGTTGACTGAAACTTGACTAGACTAAAAAGAGTATGAACTTGACTCAAACTAATAAAAACTAAAATGGCAGCTTCACACAAAGACTAGACTAAAATTAAAACGGGCTGCCAAAAACAACTATACTGTCAGGAGTCTTGATATTACGTGTTGTGTAATCCATGTTTTTAAACTATGTATATTTTATTTCTTCCCCCTCAGGGCCAGACTGCTTTTGATGTAGCAGATGAAGATGTTCTGGGATACTTGGAAGAACTGCAAAAGAAACAAAATCTGGTAAGTCAGTGTGACTGCTGATTGGATGAGGACCTATCTGCATCTGTGAAAATGCATGAATCAGATTTTTTTTTTTATGCCTTTTTGTTTTTTCATTTCTGTTTCCTTTATTCCAGCTGATGAGTGAGAAGAAAGGTGTTAAGAAATCTCCTCTGATTGAAACAACAACCACTGGGGATAACAACCAGTCACTGAAACCACTCAAAAGGTAGATGGCTTGATGGCAAGAATTCGCTGTCTTCTAAATGAGGTTTAGGATTACTGCGGCACAACATAAACTCTGAAGGTTTTATTTTCTGCCTCTGTATCTTTGCCTTATCACTTGCAATCCAACATACTGTATGACACTCATGCAGTGTTTCTGTACTAATGGTGTTAAGTGTGTGTGTTACAGCAAAGAAACACTGCTTCTGGAGCCAGAAAAGACTGCCCCACGCATTGAGACCTTAGAACCGGAGAAGGTGGATGAAGAGGAGGAGGGGAAGAAAGATGAATCAAGCTGCTCCAGTGAGGAAGAGGAGGAAGAAGATTCCGAGTCGGAGACTGAAGCAGGTACTGGAGCAGGCGTGTGTTATCACTAAATAATGTCTAAAGCCAACCCACATACTGCTAGGCACTTAAATTACTCACAGAATTAAATTTTTACATGTTCACAAACTGACAAGCATCAACACAGTCACCGCATCAGACCTTTATTTCCTATAGTGTATGTGTATTATTTGCTGAGTGTGTTTTAACTGTTTTTTAAGATGGCCGTTTTCATTAATTGTTGAATGTTAACAAAAAAATAACTCTGAGAACATTTTTGACCCCTCCAGAGAAGACCAAGCCTTCAGCATCGGTGAGCAACAGCACAGTGCCAGCACCATCCAGCATCACCGTTTCACCTCCAACTAGTCCAACCAACCAGGAGACAACCCCCACGTCACCAGTAAAGAAGGTATGACCTAGTGGTATTTAAGGGTGTGATGCCACACTCATGAGATGAGATGTGATATTGGCTCCAAAAGAACAAGATGAGACAATATTTTAACTTTTTTTTAAAGAAATCTTCAATGACAAATTATATGACTGGTAAAATGGTGTTTTATTCAACTGAAAGTCACAATGTGCAAAACAAAATGCAGATGCATTTTGAAATGTTTTATTCATTACAAGATGAATGTTACTGCAGTTCTACTTTCATGAGTATAAATTATCATGTGCAGTAAAATACAACAATATCCATGCACTAAAAGGTTTTGCCACAAACTCAACTGAGTGGCTTCTCTCCTATATGATTTCACATGAGTCTCTTCAGACCTTATAACTGTGCATGAACTATGCATGAGCTTCTTCTTCAGACTGGGTTTCAAAGGTGTGAAAAAAATGCAGCTCTCTCCATTCAGTTCTGTAAGGGCTTACATTCACTGTAGCCGCTATTGGCACCGCAGGGGGCTCTGACAAAATGACGCAACCCTGTGCGGCAAAAAAGTTGGATTTGCTTCAGCTTTCACTACACCGTATGGTGACATCATCCGGCATTGACCAATCATGTATGGGGGATGTGGATACCTACTGGAAAACTCTCTTGTTTATCTTGTTAGCATGAGCATTGACTGTGAAATTCGGGCCACAGTTAAGCACCATAATGACATGCCATGCATTTTCATTATACAGGATGTTTTTAATTTTTGTTATTAAATCTGTCCGTACTGACACACTGGAGGTAGAATTGGTGCTAAGGTAGAATAGGCTAAGTTAGCACTTCCTCGATTACATGAAGCTCTGGCAACTTTGGTCTACCGCATCATGTTGCTGCCTCACAAATCAGTCAAATTCTATCTAGTTTTTGTCTTCCTTGAGCACAAACCTAATTTCATTGCCAGCTGGTGCTACTGGGGGCTACATAAATGAGCTTTTTGTTCATACTCCAGGCCAAAGAATAAATAATTGTTTATGGCTGTGATTTTCTATTCAGTGAGTGCACAAAGCTAAAACATATCACAGAAGCCTTGAAAGTTCTGGCGGTGTTTTACAAACATGGCAACAAGCTGCTCAGGGTGGATCATTGGTGGACAGTGCTGGATGATTTGAACAGTTCACTCTAAGACTGCTGGAGGAGGCTTGGGTGAATAGTGTAGTAGTTTGGATTAATTATTAGGAATAACACCAAGGCTTGTATGGAAGTGGTTTTCCAGTTGTGCGTCTGCTGCCCTCTACTGGAAAAAACCAGGCCTATCGTTTCACTGAAATGAGCCTGGTACAGTTTAAGGGCTCCTTCCTTTAGTCCACTGTCTGAAAAGAATATCAAACATGACACTAATCTCAGCTGTTAGATGGGTGTTTTGTGTGGCTACGGTTGAAACGGGATACATTTAGAAGTGAAAATTGTATTCCTGATATTCAGCCCATTAAGTTAGATATCAGACAACACTTGCAGACTGCATCATTGTCTCATAGGAGGCTACTCATAACAGTGTTCATTTTCTGAATTTGCACACTTTAGCCTTGTAAACAGTGGCCACCTGCTCAAGACTTTGGAAATGTTTTTTTTTCCCTGCTTCTTTTTTGCAATGATCTCATTCCAGTCCTCCTTTGAAGCCTAGTGCTCACACATCACAATGTCTTCTGTCTAACAAGAGTGATCAAAACATTAACAATGTCCAGTTTTGACACTGCCAAATGTTTGTTGGCTCTGTTACCTTAATATTGCCAATAATGGTAGTCCCCTCTGGTTTGGCAGTGCACATTGTGTGGAGGGACCATGCCTTTAAAATCTGTTTTTACCATGAAGTGTTTCTATTGCTGCTGCTTTTGCCTTACTCTGGCTTTTTCTTCATCTTTCTCATCCTGGGCTCTTGTCTTGGTTGGCTTTAGTTTGATTATATTACTCCCCTCATGCCTGTGGCGGAGCCAGGTTGTCCTGCTTTGTGGCGTCAAGGCTTGCGCAAAACTGGCATTTCTCTAGGGCCCAAAAAACCTATGGTGAGGCACTGGTGTGCACCAGCGTTGTTCTCTCATCCTATATGCACCTGTGCACTGACAAAGTCCCTAACACCCCCCCCCCCCCCCCCCACCCACCT